CGATCCATAGCTCAACACAGACTACAAACTTCAGTACCACTTGAAAACTTCATTCAGCAAACTGCACGCACTAGATGCTGCAACTCTTTCGCTTGCTAAGCAGCGTACCAATACACTGATATTGCCATAGCTCCTTCTTCACTTATCTGCTCCTATACATAACTCCTTCTTACATCCTTCTAACTGTGACAGTTGAGGAACGAAATGTGAACGCTTCACTCAAATGTGATAGACAGCCAAGTACAGTTAAGAGGATATGCAGTATCGTCGATAATACTAGTGATATGTACTTTGCATTTATGATTAGTGCTGTCATGGGTGTGCAAACACATACATACATACAGAGATACATGTGTACAACGGAAGCATTCATATTTATATGGTCACATGCGAGAGTGCATAGCATGGCTCGCGCATCGTTAGGCATGCTTACGACTCCCTTTCACTGCATCATTGCCTTCATTGCATTATTGTCATTATATATTATTGTATGAGTAGTATGTGTACGTTTATTATTATTACTATTATGCAAATGAAAATGTTTTATCAACTGGAAAATTGCAGCTATGCAAAAGGCGTATGGGTGTATGAAAGTGTGTGCACTCTCAAGCTATAAAAAAGATAAAAAATGTATGCATAAAAACTGCTTGATTTTAATTATGACAAGCAACTTGAAACTTAACGTCAAGGTGAGCCAAATGCAGACCCCTTTTAAACTATGAGATGTTTTGAAACGAAAACATTCCTTCTTATGAATAAAGAGCTTTAAAAACTCATGAAACGGAAAGTCCTGCAGAGAGTCACAAATCTGGTTTTGCTGTCGGAAAATCGGTATTTGCATACCCTTAGCATTACTATCGCCAGTGCCATTATCATAACAATTACCATTGCTACTATAATAAGCATAACCATAACAGGAACCGTAACCATAAACCATAACCCTAACCATAGCTATAACCATAGCCGCAACCATAAATCCGTCAATCACCATCACCTTGACCATAACCATAACCATAACAATAACCATAACTATTATCATAACCATAACCGTACCCATAACCATAATTATAATCATAACCTTAACTATGACCATAACCATACAAATAAATTTAACCATAACCATACCCATAACCATATCCATAACTACAACCATATCCTTAACCATAAAATTAACCATAAACATAAACATAAACATAACCATCAACACAGCCGCAACCATTACCACTATCATTCCCCTTACCATTACCATAATCTTCAGCATTACCAATACCAATACCATTACCACTATCATTACCAATATCGCTTCCAATGGTAAAACCATTATTTATTTTACTTTCTTTCTTCCAGCGATACTCTTGAAATACATTTCGATTACATGAAAAATATTACCGATCTCTTTCAATACTTCGTCGATCAGATATCGAAATTTAAGAATTATCAAAGACCCGATTCTAGAGAGTTTTACTTTTTGGAGCATCAGAATGAGGATTGTCATGTAACAGGTTAGTGATCTTAAAAAAAAATCTATTCGTTGGTTATTATTAAATTTTCTACTATACATTAGGCCTCCGCTTTGTTTCTGATCTACCAAAACCAACTGAATATAGCTTTTCAGCTAGCAATACATTCACGGAACTCAAAAAACTCCAGAACATTAATGAATTAATGACAAACGATTATCCTTGGTTCGTTAATGATATGAAGAAATTTCCACGATTTACTTTGAAGAGAGAACGTGTACCATCGATAAGTGAAACGTTTCCGCTCGTTCTGACGGCAAAGTAAGTAGAAAATTATGTTGTCACTGTGAAGTGGAACAGTGTCTGATCTTTTAACTTAGTCCAAACATGGTCTGCTAGCTACGGACTTTCTATCTATGCTTAAGATATGGAACTCGTCTTGTTACTCTCAGACATGGTGAACTATTTGGGCGTAATCCTATACGGGAAGCTGCCATGCGGAAGCCAAATATTAAGTAGTTGACAGACAAAGCGTCAGTTGTTATGTTTCTGCAAAAGCATTATAGGAAAAAGATGGAGAAATTTCTACATTAGTTAAAAAAATTAGCGCCGCTCTTGTTGAACTTGGCGGGCACTCCTACTCTAACACTTAACGGCGTTCCCGTAGACATTTCGGATAAATCGACGGCAGTCCGCTTCTTCATCAAATTAATAAGCACTGGTTTTCCCTTCATCTAGCGTACGATTACTCACCATCCTTTAAATACGAAAAGGCATATCCCTCTAAGTGGGAAATAAGAGCCTCTGGAACAAAGGTTTAATCAACACATTCACGGATAGGTCAAAGTTGATTGGTAGGATTGGAGGTGGTGTGTACTCTCAGGAACTCCTCATTAATCTCAGCTTTAGGCTCCCGGATTTCTGCAGAATATTTCAGACAAAGGTGACTGCTTTGAATGAGGTAGTCGATAAGCGACAGTGAGTCATGGTTCGATCGAAATCGAGTGTCATTCTAGAAAACTGCAGGCTGATGAATTGGCTATGCGGAACACCCTTGAGGAACTGTTGACTGCACCTGAGCAGATGGGCTTATAGCGAGCACTGGGCATGAACTCCGACATGCAAAGTGTTTCTGGCTCTGGGGCGGACAAAGCGCAAATCAGCAGCCAATCGATACTACAGTGATGTGGAAGCCTAAATTGTAGTTTGATGAAGAGTGCCCTCCACAAACCACTCCGTCAAGCTTCCACAAATTCGTGCTTAAGTTAACCAATCACTGCCCTGCGTACACTGATCCCTAATTGGGTTGCGCGTGGAAAATGAGCTAATAAGTTACTAGAGCAGTCACGCAGTGGCCTTTGCTACCAGTATATAAGTGGAAGCTTTAAAGAATATTAGAGTGTACGGATTCCGAGTCAGTTAGGTAATGGGTAGACCTTTCCACAACCACCTTACTTGCGATATCGACAGTAGCCAGCATGATGTTCAGAGCTAGTGTGGGAGTGGTTCAATGTGCCTCACTGATTTGCATTACACCAGACTGACTGTTGCTTTGTACTGCTAAGAAATAACCTTGGGTGAGAGGGCTCATATTTTACCTATTTCACGCCCGCCTCTCGCCGCGCCTCTCCCGACTCCAAACGCTATTACAGAGTCTGTGAAGCCTTCTTCACTTCGATATAATTCTTCTGACAGCTTCCCATCTAAATTCAAACCCAAGTATTTAACTCTATCAGAAAGCGCTGGCCCAATACCTCCTGGTGCACAAGACGAGTTCCGTCTTACTACTATTTACACCAAGTCCACAGTTCGCAGATCTTTTGGTCACCAGGTTCAAGTACCCTTGGGTTAGGTCATAGAGAGTTTATAAAAATTTACGCCACACTAAAAATGCAACGTCCTCCGCATAGACAATCACGCGGCTTTCCCTGCGCACCAGCTTCTCTAGTACACCACCTTGTTCGCTTTGCGCAGAATGGTGGCAGCGCCTTACTCCGCCACGCGTTTAAAAAAAAATCGTGTCTGCCTTACTTCATATGTCATATACTAACTTTACTTCTGATCCAACTTTTTTCAGGAATGAAGAAAACTCATTTAATGAATAGCTTTATTGGACAGGTCGATCAAAATTTAATAGCCTCATGGGAAACAAATAAAGACAGCAGTTTCTAACAAGATTTGGTCCGTAGCACGAGAATCTGAACTTCAAAATACTTTATGGCTTAAGTTCTACCATGGTGGAATTATACAAGGTGTTGTACGTAGTGACAGCTCATGTCGACAGCTCCCTTACAAAAGGTTGTAATATGAAAGCACGAGAGAAACGGGAAGAAAAAAAGCCCGCTTTGCGAAGTTGTACGTAATTTGGTACTATTTTTCATATAAAATTTTGCATATAAATAGTTACAAACGGTATATTATGATAAGCTAAATTCGCGAAAGTAGTATATATAACGTAGTACTTATGCAATAAATGGTAATTTAGTTTATTAAACACAATGTCCTATAATTATAGTCAAACTTCCAAAACCAAAAAATTAGTGGTGACCCCGAGTCGTTACAACATGACGGAATCGACAAAAGGGCGAATCAACGGATGGGGAGAATATTTCATCGAACAAAATGCCAACTAAAGATGTGGAGCTTGCATCGCAATGCAAGCTGCGACCGTTCTGAACTGAGATGACAGACAAATGGTTTCTACAAATTGAGGCCACCTTTCAGTCGTACAAGACCACATCTTATGTCGGTAAATACAATCTGGTTTTCTCAGCAATTAGCAGCGATGCTTTAAAGGAAGCTGCGGATTTTTTAAAAACCTTACCAACTCAAGACCGATATATTAACCTCAAAAGTCAACTACTGTCACGTTTTACTGATTCAGCCGACCCACATAGGGTATTTGGCTGATTTAGGCATATTTTTATCGCTACAAACATCAAATATAGTTTTAGTTATCGAATAAAACATTCACTATAACTACCCTGTTACTAATAGAAAATTCAATCGTAGTGAAATCTTATTTATTGTCAATATTATTGTGGCTTATTAACATTTGTTTCCATATTGTTATTGAGCTTTGTAGCACTATTATGTTTTTAGGGAAAAAGGAAAAAGCAACAAAGTCTTAGCGGTAGAAGTTACCAAAAAAACAGTTATATCGTTGGAAAAGCAAGGCCAGTGGCAGTGAACCACAGACGGAATTGCAGCGGAAGGAAGCACCGACCAAAATAACTACAAATCCTTGGGGAGAACTCTAAACCGATGTTTTTTTGCCGAATTAATGTTGAAATTTCTAATTTAATTTTCAGTTGCCAACGATAAGAATAGAGTAAATGTCAAAGAATTGTTCAGTGATTGCAAATCAGTTTTGGAATAGGGAATGAGGTAGTTTAGTACTTTTTTAAAGGCGATAAAATGTAGTTTTTTCAAGAGGGAAACACTGATATAGCTAAGGGAGCCAAGATGGCGGATTAGAGCGAGAACGCTGTCAATATCCAACACCTTGTATTATTCCACCATGAAGTTCTACAACGATTTTAAATTTGGAAAGTTAAAGAATTTGTCGAAGTCGCATAAAAATAGCATTACAAATCCAATACACCCAATTCATTAAGACGATCTACTCCATAACGCAACATCTCTAAAAAGCGCTTGCTTTCATATATCTTTGGTGAATCTGGTGAAATGCCCCGATTCATACAGCATGTCGGTAGTTCACAAGTCAAGGCATAGTAACCAACAAATTCAAGATCACGAACTTCCTCCAGCACCATTTGCCAGCTGGGTATGGCAGCAGCTTCGGTACCTAAATGTTTGAGAGTCTCCTTTAGGTGGGTGTAATAAAAGCGTAGCAGTTCAAAGCGGTGTAGCTTCAAAACATTCAATTGTGTGCTAGTGTTGAGAAAGAAATTTAGATCATAGCCACAGCTGCCAACGAAGCCCACTTGAAAGTCGACCTACATATTTAAAAGTAGCATGTACAAGTACATATGTACATATGTAAAAAAAACAAGTATTCTACAAAATATCAATAATGCATCACTTACAAACACCGCATCATGTGGCACCTGCATACCTTCCACTGTCGCGTATTTAATGAGTATATTGTTTGACCATAGATCACCATGTGTAATAACCTTGAAATTACAACGTTCTGGTCGCATTATTCTCTTTGCACATTCATCAAATTTTTTTACAGATATATGCATTTTTGCCGCAATATCTTCGAAGTCTATCCATTCTGTGACAATATTATAAGATGCACGTATGCCATCCAGTCCATCGTTTTCAATGTCCATTTCACAGTCAAAGGTTGATGGTCGGAGTGCAGCTGATTCAGTAGGGAACTATTAACAAGTTGTAAAATTTTAATTTGTTTTTTTTTTTTTAGTTAATAAGTTAGCTGTGTATGCATTAAATTTTCACTCACATTTTCTATATACTTCATTGAGACAGCATGAAATTGTGCGAGTTTCTTCAATGTAATCTTCGCTTCTTCCAAATCCATGCCAATAAAACGATTTGCGCTCTGATATTCAGTGAGGTTAAGGTCCTCTAAAACATAAATTTCCTTCTCATTGTGTTCACAAAACAAGCAACTGAGATCCGAATAAAATTTTGCAAATAGTAACTTTTTTTTAGAAACGTAGAATACACCCAATACTTTACTTACTTTGCATAAAGTTTCGGCCTTATTGCCGCATCTCCATTTTGATTTTTCTTAGCAGCTTTCTCTAGTATGCTCTGCATTTCCGGCAGTACATGCTCATACATTGCCCACTCATTTGAACCCTCTTCGGCTACATCGCTATTAACGTCCTTCACAATAACCGTTAGTTCGCGTTTTTCATTCGAATTTTGCGCACCTGCGCAGTGCAAGTGGAAATGCACATTTGCTCGATAGATGACACTGCAAAAATTCTCACAATCCTCCGTTGCCCGCTTCCAGTGGCATTCCAATATTTGTACTTTGCATTTGTTGCTGCTTACGTTGGCGCCATTAAAATGACTTTCCAGCGCACGCTTAATGTAGTTGCCATTGAGATAGGTTGGCGGAAATGTTGCTTCAGTTTGGTTAGCGGACATTTTATTAATACACTTTGTTTACTCCGATAAGACACTCTTCTCTTAATGAAATAATCGCTATTTCTTCGATGTTAAATTTCGCATAAACGCAAAAAGCGTAATTTTCAATGACTGACGCGTGAAAATGCGCTAATGCAACTGATATAAAATATTTCAAGCACTCATTTCAAGAAATAGTACTTGCATATGCCGATATGAAGAGAGATGCATAGTAAAGCTTTTATTCGCAGTTTATTTACGTGCGATTGTGAAATTGAACTTTGAATATACTATCACACCTATTGACTTTTTACCAAAGCGCTTTTTTTTTTTAATTTTTAAAACAACGCACTGCAGCAATTTCCTCGAAATTACACAGATTTACCGGGTGGCGCAATTGAATTTTCAATTTGTCGAATTTCAACTAAATTGCGCATTTCAGTATAAAAACGTATATTTCGTAAGTTAGGTTAGGTTAGGTAAGGTGGCAGCCTCGCAAACACTGAGCACCTAAGAAGGTAGTGTATACCACCTCGTCATCTTCCAGGCAACTGCAACATACGGGATCAGGTAATATAATCAGCCTTACCGCGTAAATACCTATTGGATAGTGGGACGTTAAAACCGCCACCAAGAGTAAGAGCTGTGGGTTTATAAGTGTGAGGAGTGCCGTCGACCGCCCCTGCCTCCCTTCGGAGAGAAGGACTTTGCAATCGCACATGTCCTGGTTCTCGCCCAACGCTCGCTACGCTGTCATGCGGCCCAGTTGTCCAAGAGCGTACAACATGAGATCAATGGTACCCCAAACAAGCTGTGAGCCTAGAAACCACCTTCGCCTGAAATACACTGATGAAATGCTCTCGATAGAAGACCCCTCCAACAACCCTGCCGTCCAGTTTCGATCCATCAGTAAAGAGGTTCACTGCTCTCCCTATCCAGAAGCTCAGCCCGGTTCAATATTTCCTTGAGGGAAAGTGGGCAGATAAGAAGCTCCTAGGAGTCGCTTCTCTCGAGCAGTAATTTATGCGATCAGAGGGGAAATCGAATCCCACTAAAACTTAGGAGTATCCAATTCCTAAGTTGGTCAACCTGTCGGCTTCCCTGAGTCGAATAGCTGTTCGCGCTGCGGCAATTTTGCCTGCAATGTCGTCAAGTGCAAGTGTGGAGTGGTCCGCAATGCCCCACTAATACCAATTAAATCAGTCCGATGTACGTTCTCCAGCTGATTAGCTAGTGTAGCCTTTTCAAGTGCGTTTCGCCATACTAGGGCGCCATAAAACATAATAGGCTTCGTCTCGCAGAGCCAATAGACAACTTTGGGTGAAATACCTCATCTCTTTGCAATAGCTCCCTTGCTGGCGGTATAAAGGCACTGATGCCTTCCTTGCTACGTCCTCAATGTTTAGCCTCCACGAAAACTTCATGTCAATGAACATGTCCAAGTACTTAACCTTGTCTAGTAACTTCCCTCCGAGAGAGGAAAGAACAGCGTCAGGGTTTTAATACTTTCTTGTGAATAAGTAAATGCCACATCGTCTGCGTGGTCAATTACCTGAGAGCCGTGTTTCTCCAGTTCCTCAAGTAGGTCGTTCACCACCTCGACCCAAAACAATGGTGAGATGACACCTCCCGGCGGGGTGCCCCTATTCACTGTGGGATGCAAGCAAGCACTGTCCCATATAACTTCACAGTTGTGTCACGGAGGAAGTTTTGGATAAGCCGAATGAGCCTGACTTCAACCACAATCTTATCCAACGAGGCCATGGTGGTTTCTACCGACTTTTCTGAATGATAATCGTATTGAGCTCTTGGTAGGCGATCTTGAGGAATTCCGCTCCTTATGTGCGGGTCAACCAGCCAACCTCTCCAACGTTTTCAGTAGAAACGATGAGAGAATGATCGGCCTGAAGGGCTAGGGGTAAACAAGAGAGCTCTATGGTCTGATCTCTCTGAATTGCGATTCTAGTTCCAGGGTAGTGAAATCGGTAAAGTGGGTAATCATTTTAAGATCCATAGCCATATCAGGTAAACCACGACAACTTCAAATGGCTAATCGCTGAGTAGCGGGAGTAATGTTGAAAAAACATTGCAGTTATCTTGGCAAACTGTTCCTAGAAGGCCAAACCGCAGTCCACTGAAGGCAGAGCACTCGCAGAGGATATGTGCGACTGGCTCCGCTTTCGTTCCGCAACTCATTCAAATAACTATTATCATTGGTCAGAACTGGCTTAAAGTCCCCTTAGAACACCAAACAAGCTCGTGGAGTCACATCGAGAATTTCAAGTTTATTAGCAAGCTTACAAAAATATTAAAATTATCCAAATTTGTATTAAAAATATAACCACATACTATACTGAATCTAAGGTTTGCAAACTGTACAGCCATAAATTATGCACCAGAAACTCTTCACTGCACTAACCAAGCAAGCCTCTTTCATCGAATGCCTTCAACATATATTTGTACGTCTCCAAAACACGCTCATTGCTGTATATATCCGCGCGATTAAGCGCCACACGCTGCTTATCCTGAAGCTTATTAAAATTCATACCTTTCACCAATTCATCACTAAGCATAGTTTGAGCGAATGGAAAAATAAGTAGATAGTAGTTAAAGTAATCGGTACGATGCAGTTCATCCACAATACACCGCAATGTAGGAATGCGTTCTACCGGATACTTCGCTACCAACAAAGTTGAACGAAAAGCAGCATAATAATGCGCAATAATATCATCATAGCTATGCGCTAACACAGACAATTGTACGCTTGTCATAAATAGATTGTGGATATCGATGGCAGGACTGCCATAGCAGCTATTCTGGTAGTCCAACTGGAAGTAGTAAGATGAGCAGAGTTGTTCAATTTCGTTCTATTTTAAAATACTCGATTACAGCTACTTACGAATACTGCATCTTCAGCCTTGCCATCATTGTTGTTATACTGCAGTAGTAAATTTGCAATCCACATATCGCCATGTAAAACCAAAGCTAACTTAGCTTGTGAGGCATCAAATAACGGCAGGAATTTGCTACGAAATACTTCGCGGGTATGCTTTCGCATTTTCGCAATTATGCTCTCATATCCAGGCCAAGTTTCCATAATCTTAGCGACATGCTCTATATTGTCATACATTTGGTCTTCAATGCAAAGCTCCAGCGCTGGATCACTGACCGCATAGAATTGCCGCATTTTACCCTGCACGGCTGGATGCTTATGATATGACAATTTTGAGACAGTTTTGCGGAAGGAAATATTTGCGTTTGATATAAAAATATTTACCGATTCTGTGTAGATAAGCGATGCGGCGTGATATTCTCCCAAACGCTTGAAAAGCAAACGCGTCTCATCTTCATCGTAACCAATCGTGCGCGGACGTATTACATAGCCGCGTGGCGTCAGATCCTCGAAGAAATGTGTTTCACCTGCAGTCTTTAGTGTATAATATACCCTAAGAGTAAATGTATTTATAGCAAAAATATTACATAAAGAAAATTTTCGAAAATTTCATTTTTTGAACCCCTATAACGCTTCACTGTTCTTACACTCACACACGCAACAAATCAGTTAGATACATACATATATGTACTTACATTGGTGAGATCGGTTGTAGACCACAACTTCTTAGCGTTTTATTGATCTCGGGCAATACTTGTGCGTACATGAATTTCTCATTCGAAATTGTGCTGAGATTTTCAAATAAATCTTTAACGAGCACGTGCAATACGCGTTGTTCTCCGTTCGCTGGTGCTCGTTGAGCCACTTCACCTGCCTTATCATTATCACTTTTATCTACGCTGCTATCATTGATCTCGTATTTCAACGTTACACGATAAATATCGCTGCAATAATTGCCAAATGATTTTTGTGGTATCACTTGTAAAGAGCGAATTTGTGCTGGTCGCTCGAATGTTTGCAAAAGTAAGTTATTAAATGTATCTTCGCTTAGATATTCGGGAATAGCTTTATTAGCGCCACTCATAATTTAAACTTAATACTTGTTTTGCTAATTGCTTATTATTTGTTATTGGAAGCGCCTTCGATACTTCTATTACTTCTTCGCTTTATTTAGCTGAGTACTGCAGTTTATTTGTTGATAGCGTTCTAATTGTTGACTGAGAAGCAACTACAGCTGCCTAGAGCTTTATGTATTGTATTTAATGGGTTTGCTTTCGATGGTGAAATTGTGCAGTAGTGGTTCTCTCAAAAGCTTTTAAACTTGTTTGTTGGCGATACGACAGTCTTTCCGCATTGCATTCAGTCGCGTAATTCATGAACGTGAATATGATTTTATGGCAGTAGAGCTTTCTGTACAATTTCAATTGACGCGGGCAGTGTAAAAGCTCCTCCCTCTGCATATGGCTCTTTTACATGCACTTCAACTTTCCTTAAAAATAAAATAAGTAAATGAACATAAAATAAAAAAGCAAAATTCTTAATAACAAAATATCGTAAAATCTTAAAAAATAAAATAAAATCACGGGGTGTGAATAGCTCAGTGGTTAGCGCTTCTGACTTTGCACATCGATGATGCGAGTTCGATCCTTGCTGAAGTCTAGATAAAGAAGTCTGATAAGGAGACATGGCGATCTCCGAAATGGTAGCTGTCTAAGCGGTAGCAGTTGTTGTGTTGCTTTTTCCATTTTTCCTACTAAACATAATCGTGGTACAAAGCTCAATAACAATATTAAAATAAAATTAATTTTAGCAAAATAAAAAAATAGAACCAAAAATGAAAAAATTTAAATAAATAAAGCAAAGGAATTAAAATAAAATAAAGTAAATCAAATAAAACAAAATAAAATAAAAAAATTAAATAACTAAAGCAAAAGTAAGTAAAAATTAAGAATCAAATAATACCAAATGAAATAAGATTTAACTAAACTAAAAACTACAACAAAATTGTATTCATTTAAAATGAAAATAAATAAAATAAAATGAAATCACATCGAATTAAATTAAAGCGAACTTAAATTAATATAAATACTGTGAATGGAAACAAATAAAACTACTACAAAAATTAAAAAATTAATAAAAGTAAATGAATTAATAAAGCAAAAGAAACTAAAAATTTCAAATAGGACAAAAAAATAAAACAAAACAAAATATAATCAGAAATTAAATTAACTAAACAACTTTCGCAAAATAAAATTCAAATTTTAAAAAGGAATAAAATAAAATAAAATACAAATTACAAAATAAAATAAAATCAAATAAAGTTAAACTAAATTAAATACGACAAAATTAAAATAAAATAAAACAAAACTAAATCAAGTAAAATAAAATCATATAAGATTTAAAAAGGAAATGTAAATAAAATATTATAATGAAGCAAAATAAAATAAAACAAATTAGAATAAAATAAAATAAAATAAAATAAAATAAAATAAAATAAAATAAAATAAAATAAAATAAAACAAAAAATAAATAAAATAAAATAAAATAAAATAAAATAAAATAAAATAAAATAAAATAAAATAAAATAAAATAAAATAAAATAAAATAAAAGTTTAAGGTTAACATGGTTGTCTCAGGCAAGACCACACTTGGACCATAAACCTCAGTTCATTGTGTTACCCCAACGAACGAGTAACTACTATGTTATAGCGGCAAATGATTTTTGCCTAGATCAAAATTTCGCAGATGATATATGCTAGCCTCCGAGGATTTCCTCATAGCTGGTTAAAGTATTCAAAGTAAATACCAATCCGTCAGTGAACTGTCAACGCACCCCCAAAATTTAAAGTTACTGCGTTGTAAGGCCAAGAAAATCCTTTGGCTGTCGCCGGTCCTGCTAAGTTTGGTGAGCTGACACGAGCGACCGCCTGCCTTCTTAATGGCAGCTACCTCTGCCTGAAAAACACTACAGTGGTATGGAACCCTAACTTTGGGGTTGATGTAAAGCTTCCTTCAAAAGACCCTTCACTCGCTCTTCCATCAAGCTTCGACCCATTTGTGTTGAAGTTCACCGTTGTCTCCTTCAAACTACTGCCTCGTGTCTATTCAACCCTAGAGGCCATACTAGTGGAGCATAAACTCATTGGTGCCAGTCTAGCCTCACAGTAATCAGTGTTGTCATGGATTAAGTCGAAACCTTCAAGAATACTTCTTATTTGGCACTACAATCGTTCGTCGGATTGGGCCGAGACCTAAACAACTTCGCCAATTTCCTCTCTTATTGGCGGATTTGCGCCAGTTGCCTCGTCTTCCATGCGTACAACATGTCCAAGCCGGCGCATTGACTGTATCCAAGAATACTAGAGTGTCCAAAACCTGCGAAAGCTAAGCGCCCAGTAACCTTAAGTCAGACGCATGGCGTTAAATCTCAGAATATTCTGGTTAGGGCTGTGCATTTACCCGTTTCAACTTTCTAACTCTTCTCGTGGTTTCTTGAAGCTAGGAAAATCCCTTCGGAGATATTGTTGGAACTCATCCTTCAAGAATGCGTTGTAGAGGGCTTTAGGACTACAATCTTTAATATTTTTGCAGTTATCCAGTTTATCACAGCAACTGATACATATTTATTTTCTGCAATATAGTAAATCTTAGACAGTTCTTGATTCCATGCGTCTACGATTACTCGCATTGGCTGTTGGAGGATATTTGGAAATATGTATCTTTAAATTTTGTCTGGTTGAGAAAAATACTCAAATGACCTTATCGTATGAAATATGATTTCGAATCTAAGATTGTTTAGTCAGCGAACCAATGATTTGCTGCCCTTTATTTCTCATCACGTCAGGACCAATAGCCGAAATGGTCCCACTAAAAGATGCATGGGATACAGCATATAATGTTATATCTTTGATTGGATCGAGTGTTTGCTAAATGTGAGATCGCTGAGCACACGCGCAGTGGCGGCGGTTGATCGCCATGAATGCAATCTACAAGCATTTCATATCCAGAGCTCTAGTTTTAAGGCCTATTTGACATCTTCACTTACCATTCTAATTCCGCAGTTCTTCCGTTTTTCAGCATGTATGTGAAGATTCCGCCACAGCTCTGCAATACGGCTGAGATACACAAATTTGTGGAGCCCATTGAAGACTTCACCTTCAAACAAACGCAACGATACTTGAAGGAGTAAGTAAAAAAAAAGAAATATATCTAAAATGGAAACTATTTAAACGATTTATAACTTTTCACACACCTCACCCACAGTGCTATCGAGTACTATTTACGACCGCGTATTCGAACTGCGTTGGCGAAACTCTGGAGCACCAATAACTGGAAATTAAAGCTTGAAGATCATAAACGGCGGCTCTTCCGCGAACAACAACGCACTGTGCTATATAAAGCGATGCTGCAGCATCGCGTTTTTCCCAAATACAATCAATTCCGTCAAGACTTCTACGGCCACGTCAAGAATATTGACTTTTTTCAATTTGTTATACAACGTTGTTATAAGCCGGAAGAACAAATAGAAGAGGAACGATTAGTAGATCAGAAACAGTCACCTAAAGATAAACGCTCGAAAGGAGATACATATAGGGAGAAAGCTCCAGTGGACGCAATTGAGCCACAAAAATCTACAACGGATGGATTACAATTGAGATATTCCAGGGGAAAATCTCATGTTCGAGCCACACCGAAATGTATAACCACCGTAACACATACTACAGCAAATCTTGATATTTGAAAATTTACATTTCATATGTGTCTATTTTCTATCATTGAAAAAAATTAACCTACATATGTAAGTAGGGCTCTTTTTGTTGTTTTCGTCATCTGCATTTCGATGGCTGAGTAGAAGATCGTCCTATCTAGGCTGCCAGTTCAAAAATATGGCGAACTTCCACTCAGCGGCTGTATACTGATTTAGGAGGATAATTGGAGAGATGAGAGATAACTGCATATCTATCTATAAGCTCCCCACTTTGGCCCTTAACATCACGCTTAACATAGCGTCGGATCACTACGTAGGTAAGGATTGCAGTAAGATTAGGAGCACCGTGTGCACTACTAACTCAGGGTATTCTAATACTCTTGGAGGGTTCGACTTTATACCTTATTAAACGGATGTAAGCGGGACTGCACTGTCACTAATAATAACTTTCTCCACTGAAAACTACTCAAGGTATAAGTGAACATGAGGCAGTAGTTGCACCGGAACAGGGAGAGCTCCATCAACTCCGAATTTAGGTTTCCAGTAACTGTAGCAAGTGAGGTACTAAATATCTACTCTCTTAGCCAAGCGACAAGTTGGCTTACTGCTTTCAAATTATTCCACAAATAGGAAGTAAGAGGTTGTAATTAATTCATGAAAATGGCCATTGTCGATCTAAACTTTCCTAAACAAATTAGAAACGTATAACATTCTTAATCTTTGGGGAAAAGGTAGTGCTGGAGGTTCATAACAGCCTCTCGTGGAGTCTTTGAGCTTAATTTTAGCCAAGTAAGATGGAACTCTCTGACGAGACCGCCACAGAGAAAGAAAATCCAGTGCCTGGAGAGCGTTGGCGCAATAAATCTATCTAGAAACCAGCACCAGTAAATTCACGATTTTTTGAATGCTTCAGCCGGTAAACTAGAACGGATTTCCGCTTTACTTTCATAAGCGATAAGTACTTGCGTTGGAATGAATTTTGTCGGCAATCGCACTTACACGTTTTAAAGCTAATGAAGGCATGTTTTTCTACATACACGGTTTCGGAGTTTATATCATTGGAGGTGAATATAGTGGTGATAAGCGTGGTTTGTACACAGTGCTTCCGATATCGAGGTCCCCCGTATGCTTAATGGACTTTTCCTACGAGAGCTATTGAGTCTGTGGAAATGCAGATAGGTGGCCACCGACCTCCTTGCTTGATCCTAATATCGTCGCTGTAAACAATTTTTAAGCGCCACTTTCTACCGTGCCTCATTGAACGGGAGGTACGGCGCGATGTTCGTTCTCCGTCTGCGGACGGAACGGTTGGAAGCCGAGATTGGTTGGGTTTGCCCCAAATGGCATTTTAGGAGGAACTGTTTCAATAGCAAAATACTTTGGGCTTTTACCACCAGCTACTAGCTTTTCTCGTAATAATAATACCCGAACCGCATAAGCTGGCAGACTGTAGCCATACGTAGAGTTCTGCAATGCGTTTTTCTTTCGATCACACTGGCGTTATATAAGTTGGCGGAAGTCCGTGTTGTTATTGAAGCAGC